AAACAAACACACACACACACACACAAAAATCCTAAAAAGAAAACCAGAAAAAACACTTTGATCCAGTGCAGGAAGGTGTCTGGAAGGTTCCAGAAAAGCGGCCTTCCCAGTGCATGTCTCTCACCCCCTCCCCTTGATGTGAGCCCCCAGTGCTCCCGGCTGCCAGGGGAGACCGAGCCGAGGGGGCAGGGGCACGGGAGAGGAGCCTGAGGCGCTGCTGAGGGGAGGAAGGAGCCTGGCACTCAGGGAGCATCGCTGGCCACTCACTGATCAGGCAGAGGCGGAGGGCACAGCGCGGACAGAGCAGCGCACCTACCTTTGCTGCCCCAATGGGGGCTCGCGCAGCCCCTGGGGCTTTCTAGCTGACACGCTCGTGAGCCTCAGAGGCAATAGGGCCGAGCTCGCCTGAGGAGGCATCGCTTTACCCTCAGCAAGGGAAAGATCAGCGTCCGACTCCCCTGGTACTCACCAAACTCCGAAGCTCTTTCTCCAAAGCCTCCTTCACTCGAGTGACTTCGTTCAAGTTCTCCTGAAGACTACGAAGCGCTAGCTCCTTCCCCTGCAGCTCCTCAGCCAGGCTCTCGGCCTACCAGAGTGACAAGGATGGAGTGAATGGACCAAAAATACGAACAGGAACAGGAAGGGGAAAACAAAACAGAAAGCACATATGAGAAGCCCATGACCCAACACAACCCCGAAGAACAGAGGCGTGAGGTGAGCGTGATTGCCTGAAGCTCTCAAAGCCAAGGCCTTGGCGCCATCAGTTCTGGTGATGACTGTCTAGTGGTTATTGAAAATGGCTCAAACAGAGGCATTTTCTAGACCTACATTTGGAGTGACCAGAAAATAAGAAAGCCTATGAGAAAGACTGACTTTCCAGGGGCGGGGAGACGGCACAAAGGGCTGGAGTACACACCAGGCCCGAGTTTGAACTGCAGCACCACTGGGCGAGCCTGAGATCGGTCCACAAGCTGAAAAGACCAGCTACTGCTGGGTGGGAGGACCCCAGAGCCGAGAGCATGGCTTGGCGAGGAAGAAGGAAGTAAGCAAGGGAGGAGGGAGGCTAAGGATACGAAGGAGGGAGGGAGGAAACAGGGAAGAAAGAGAAAGGGAGGGGAGGGAGGGAAGAAAAGGTTTATCTCTTTTTTTTTTTTTTTGGCCTGCTCGAGCTAATCGATGAACAACGGGAGGACAGTGACAATGACAGTGACCCTATGGGGTGCTGGAGATCGAACTCACTTAGGCCGTGTGCAAGGCAAATGCCCTTCCCACTGTACTATCACTCTGGCCCCCAAGATTTACTTTCTTGTAGTTTCTTGTCTGTGACTTTAAAAGTTTGAGGGGTTTCAATATGAATTTAAAATGAAGAACCTGTAATCCACTAGGCAGCAGTCACCAGAACTTGACGTTTGTTACATCTTGATGCGAACAAGTGGCTCAACTATCCCCTGCTGTGTCCTAGGAATTGATTCCGTTTGTTTCAGCCGGTGTTTCCGGAATGCCAGCTAAGGAGTCCTAAGTCCTGAGAGGAACTCCCGGGGGTCTCTGGGTCCTTCTGTTATGTCTGTCACTCCTGTCTACAAATCCCACAGCCCTTCCATCTTGGCCAACAGAGAAGTTTCTCCAACAAAGCGCCCAGCGCCGGGAGGGGGGGAGAAACGGGGAGAGGGGGGCGGCTGGGAGGGCATGTCTCTGCCACCACAATCCTATAGGAGGAAAAGGGCATTTCTCGGGGCTCCTTGGTGAGAACTGCAGCTTCCTCGGCTTGGCCCAGATCTCACTGTCTTGTCCTTCCGCAGGGTCAGGGCTACCATGAGAGTCCATGCCCGTGGTCAGCAGGAGGCCATGATGGAAGGCGGACTTGGCCCAAGCACCCCTTAGAGACTGAAAGGGATGAAATCTCTGCAGGGCTGGGCGGGGGCTTGTGCTGCAGGCAGGGAGGGGCCGGCAATGAGAAATACCAAGATGGGCCACGTCACCAGCCCTGAGGGAGCGCAGAGGCTCAGAGGCATTGAGCACGAGCTGGAAACTGAGGCACCTCGGGGACAGGATGGCAAAGCCAGTCACACGAGCAAGTGGTCAGCAAGGTCAGGGAAAGACTCCTGCGGCCAGACTCGAGCCCAAGGGTCTGGGCAGACTTGGTGAGTACACAGGGGGCCCAAGGCGGGGGGGCCGAGGTTTGCTCTGGGGGCTCCTATCTTGTTTTCTCACTGGCCTTGTGAAGAGTTCTCAGTTTCAGAAAGACCCCAGACGGGCCCAATTAGCCGGGGCCAAGGCTTGCATGGCATCCGGGTGCTGGGGACCAATGACAGCCCCAGAATCGTGCCGACACGTTCTCAGTCCCATCAGAGGGAACCGCACGGGACGTGACCGGGAGACCTGTCAGCACCAAGCCGGAACACGGCGGCGAGCAGACGGACACACAGCATGCAGGGAGCGAGCGTGGAAGTGGGCGAGGGCGCCCGGGTACCAACCTGCCGCTCTCGGCCCACTTTGCATTCTCTAACTCCTGAATCTGCCGCTCAGCCACCTGGAGCTGCTGCCTGATCCTCTCCATTCCCAATTTACCTCGGAACTGGCCTTCCGGAGCCCATCGAGCTGCAAGAGCTTCTCCTGGGTGGCCTCCAGCTGCTCCGTGGCGTCGGCCAGGGCCTGGGCTTGCTGACTACACATGGCCCGCAACCCCTCCAGGTGCTTTACCTTTGTCTCCGCCTCCTGCAGCTTGTTCAGGGTGTCCTCCATCTCCACCAGGTGCTGGTCCTCGGTCTGGTCGAGCTTGGCCCGCGCGGCCTCCAGGCTGTTCTTCTGCTCCTGGGCCATCCTGACCAGCCGCGACCTGAGCGTCTGCAGCTCAGAGGCGTGTGCTGCACGCCCAGCCACCTGCTGGGCCTTTAAGTTCTCCACCTCCTGCTGGGACTCGAACTGCAGCCTCTCCATCTGCATCTTGAGCTCGGCCACCTCGGCCGCCTCGGCACCCACGCCCCGGCTCACGGACGCCTTCGGCTCGCCCATGGCCTGTTGGGGCGGGGCGATGGCCGTCTCCAGCTTGGACTTCCACGGGGCGATCAGGTCCACGTTCTCCTTGTTGGCATGGTCCTGCTTGGTCCTCCCCCACTCGTTCTCCTTGGCGAGCTTCTCGGAGGCCGCCTCCTTCTGGTGGGAAAACAAAATTTCCATGAACTTAAAACAGGAAGGAAAAGAAGCAGAAATAGAAATTATTCTTTTGCAAACTGACTGTTTGCTTTTTCTTGTTTTAAGGAATTTCATTGTTTTCATTTCATCATCCTGTTATTCGTCGATTGCCTCGAGCAGGCCCCAGTAACGTCTCTTTCATCCTAGCCGTGAGATTATATTCAAGGCTATTTAGGAGAATGAGACCCATCATTGTTACTGGTATTTGGCATATTTGGTACGCCACGGGGAGTTTGCCAGACTCTGCCCTGTGGGCAGGCTACATTCGATAGCCTGCAAGTTTGTCCAAAATAGGAATGAGACAATAAGGTGTCATAAAACAAAAGTTCTGATAAGATGTCGCGTGGCCGCGAGGTTCCGGGATCTGGATTTTATAGTCTCTGAGTCTTGGCCGCTGATGGGATTACACGGCGCCAGGGGGCCAGGTGGTCGGTGTGACCCCCGCCTACTTAAAAAAACTGGGGTTCTAAAGGATTTGATTTGTGCTGCTTGACTGAAAATCAAAGCTGAGGCAAAGGCGTAGACCCAACTGTCAGAACGAGAGAAAAACGCTCATCAACAGCAGCCTCCGGCCCCAAGGAGCAGAGGTGCCTCCGCCGGGCCCTGCCAGGTGCATGACACCAGGTATCCCTGTCTGATTTGGAGTCTCCAGCAGAAGTGGTCCCGGCGGGGTCGGCCAGGCCACCCCGCATCCTTGCCTGCACCCTGCAAGCCTCTTGACCTGCCCGGGCTTTACCTCCAGGTCGCCTTTGGTGATAGACTCCTCTTCGACTCGGAACTGGAGGTCCTCCACTTTCCTGTGGGGGAGAGGGAGAGTTGTGAGGGGCGTCACTGCTGCCCCCCATGAGGGCCACCATCCTGTAGATGCGCGCCTGACCCAGCCCCCGCCTCCACACACAGGAGGGCTGAGAGAGTCAGCGAGGGCCAGAGCGAGAGTACAGCGGGCAGGGCATTTGTCTTGCACGTGGCCGACCCGGGTTCAATTCGGACCTGAGCAATGCCAGGAGTAATTCCTGAGTGCCGAGGCAGGAGTAACCCCTGAGCATCGCTGGGTTGACCCAAAAAGAAAAAAGAGAAAGCGAGTCCCCTCGGCTGTGAGCACTGGGTGGTACCCGCAGGCTACAGGAGTAAGCTCTGTCGAGCCAACGCCAGACGCAGTGCCATATCAGCCTTTTCTGCCTCGCAGCTAACAGAGGTGGTTAGAGACTGACCAGGTGCGCGTGCCAGTCCCTCCCAGCCAGCGCCTGTCCCCGCATCGGGACAACAACTGAGCCCCTGGGAGAGAAGCAGCAAATGACTCGGGGCCAGGGCGGGGGGGTAGGAGGGGTGAGTTCAGCATGTGGAGCTGAGGGGCTGAGCCGGGCACTGGCAGTGCCCCTGGGCACCACACTGCCAGGAGCCCATCTGAGAAGACGGTCTTGGCCGGCACCCCGTGTCCGTCTGTCTGCAGCCTGGCCTGAGCCCTGCCTGTCTGCTGCCGTGCCCCATGGGTGCTGCAGGTTTCCTCCCGCCCAGGACTTAACCCCAGGGACTCCCACAGGGCCCCACTGGGATACGACAGTTCCCAGCCAGCCAGCACAGGTCTCCTGAACACCAGGCCACGTGGACACAGCAGGGAGGGCCGGGGGTGGCTGGGCTCCAGTGAGCTCCCCCCATGCCCCCCAATGAGGCCACTCTCCGGACTGGGCACCCGCTGGTTTGTGGTTCTCACAGCCCTGGAAGGCCAGGAGCACCCCACCCGAGGCAGCCCCCCAGCTCCTGGCACGGCCTCACCTCTTCTCCTCCTCCAGCTGGTTCAGCAGCTCCACCTTCTCCCAGTCGCTCGCTTTCAGCATGGCCCGCAGCTCGTCCATCTTGGCCTCCAGCTCCAGGATGTACTGTGGAGGCAACTGTGCGTGAGTGTCCTCGCCCGCCCCCGACAGCCCTCTGTGGGCTGGCACCGCCACCTGCCACCGTGGCACGCTGAACGCGTCTCCCACCTAAGATGCAGCATTTCTGGAAGGCGGGACGGGAAACACAGCACGAAAGCACCGGCGGGGACAACTCGGCGCTCCCTGAACCCCCACGGGGCGAGCAGAAGGTGCATGCGATCAAACCACTTGGCGGACGCCACCGCAACGATGGCAGACGGGGACCCACTGCCTCTCCCTGCACTGCCTGCACCAAGCTCGCGCCCAGCCTCTGCTGCAGGTGTCTCTCGGACCCGGCACTGCCGTCTGCACAGACGTCACCTGGTTGTGCCCGTCCTGGCCAGGGCCAGCTCCTGCTCTATCTCCCCCACATGGCTCGTGGCCTTGGACACCTCCACCCGCTCCAGGTCTCGCTTGGCCAGCAGCTGCTCAATGTGCTGCTGCTTCTCCTTCAGCGCCTCCTGGAGGGCGGTGGTGCCGGAGATCTTGCGGGCGCAGCGGGAGGAAGTTACCGGCAACTGGAAAGGAAAAAGAGACGTGAAGGGGGTGGGGGCGGCGGACGCGGGCATGCATGTGGCTATCCTCAGCAAAGCAGATGGAGGAGCGCTGCATCCGTGCATATGGGCCACTGACTCTCAGCAGAAGCGTCTTGAAACCTTCCCGAAGATCCTTGGACGGGACCTGGGCTCCACTGACCTCGGGCCTCATGGGAATCCAGAGACTCTTCTGCAGAGCCGGAGGCAGCCCCCTCCACAGCCCGCTCTGGCCTGAGCTTCCTTAAGGCTGAGCCCTTGGCTTGAGCTTGAGGCCGGCTCCAGCATCTTCAACCTTGCACGTCCGTCCATCAGGGTCTCCCCAGGGCAGCCTGGCCCTTCTCTCTTCCTCTTCCTTCCAGCTCACCTCGCTCTCCCCAGCACCTGCCCCAGGCCTGAACAGCAGTAACCAGAGACTCTTGTCTCTGGGAATGGCCCCGTGCCCCTGAGGGTCACTGGGTGTGACCCCATAAAAGACCCCTGTGCCATCTGCCTTCGAAAGTGGGGGATGAGAGGCTAGAATGGTAAATTTGCGGGGAAGGCGCTGGCCTTGCACGCCGCTGACCCGAGCTGGATCCCAGGTACCCACCCCACAGGGTCCCGAGCCCACCAGGAGTGAGTCCTGAGTGCAGAGCCCGGAGTAAGTCCTGAGCATTGCTGGGGGGTGGCCCAAAATCCAGGAAAAAAAGGAACAAGTGGTGGGTGAGCATTGTGAGGGCTCACGCCCAGCGAGCAGGACAGCAAGGGCAGCTCAGGGGAAGACCAAGCACAAAGGGAAGGAGAGAAGAGGCAAAGACAGTGAGGAGGGGAGGGGGTGGGCTGGAAGGCCGCGGGGACCGGGGGTCCTGTCCGTTCTGTCCTGGGCTCATGGTCACTCATGGTCGCTCTGCAGACCAGTTTCCTTGCGGCACAACGGCCCCTGCAGGCGGGGACACAGCGGGACCTGGTCTTCATTCTTCAGGCACACGGTGGCGGGGGCTGGGGCGGGGGTGGCCGAGGACGTCCGCTCCTTCTGCCTGGCCACCCCTGACCCATTGCCCTGCTGCGAGCCAGCCGCAGGGTCTCTTGCCGCTTCCCTGCATCATCTGAGGTGCTGCCAATTGCCTGCTGACTGACGGGCCCAGCAGGGCCCAGGCTGTCCACCGCTGCTTTGCCTGCTGGGAGCTCTCAAGCTTCCTGTTTCTGTCCGGGGAGCAGCTCATCCTTGCCTCTGCGTAAGGATCTGGCCGTGACTCCCCAATACACTTAAAGTATATTGGTCAGATTAAATGCTCTCCCCAGGGCCAAAGAGTTTTTTTTTGGGGGGGGGGGAAGGTGCTTGCAGAGGTTCAAGATCCAGCACCATCAGGAGTGACCCCAAGAGCAGAGAGCCAGGCATAAGCCCTGAGCACCCCTGAATGTGGCCCCAAAACCAAATAATAAATAAATAAAATTTCTAGGAGGACACGAGCTCTCGGGCCCAGCCATGTGCAGTGCTGCCGGGAAGTGCACTCAACTCTGATTTCAAGGGGTGGCTGGGAAGAGCTTGACAGCCTTGGGGGTCTCCACCAAGACCTGGGCTTAAACCCCCTCAACCGGGAGCAGCCCCCAAGCACCACGCCTGGAGTCCCTGAGCACTGCCAGGTGAGCCCCAAAACCAAAGAGCAAAAATAAAAACTAGGAAAGGCGGGCGGCGGTGTTCCCTGAGCCTCCTGGCCTGAGCGGGTGGGGCAGGCCGGACGCATGCGCTTCCTGGGTCCGAGACAACTCCCTGAGGAAACCAGCACGGGAGGGAAGGGCTTTAAGCAAACCATGGAGATGAGACTGTGAGGTTCAGGCGCTGGAGCAGGGAGAAAGCAGCACCCCTGGCATGGGGGGAGGCGGGCGCTGAGGGGCTGGGCAAGGTCGGGGCCACGAACTGAACTCAGGATGTTGATGCCAAAGCCTCTGCCCTGCGCATGGTGTGTGAGGCCCCAGGCTCCATGCCAGCAAGGCCAGCCCCTCTGTGGGAGCCTGGTACCTCAGAAGAGCAACTCAGCCAACAAGCGAACCGGGAGGCCTCCCACAGGGCACGCACGGACCTGTGTGCATGTATGTATGCATGCACGTACGTTCCTGTGGGCATGTCTACACAAACCCGTGTGCATGTGTGCGTTGTGTTTATGCATGTACGTGCCTGTGTGTATATACCCATCAGCCTGTGTATATACGGTATGCACTACGTGTACATGTATGAGTGGCTGTGTGTGTGTGATCGCTTGTGTGTGCACGTATGGAATTATGTTGTCGAGGTATACTTCCATGAAGTCACACAGACTCATTCTATATCCCTGTCATAGACGCTAACGGTGATGTGCAGTGTAGGAGTGAGCTCCACCCTGCGTAAAGATATGCAAGGCAGGGGCCAAAGGGCTGGAGAGCGAAGCCCCAGCGCTGCCCAGGCTCAATCCCGGAGGCCCGCCAGGAAGAATCCCGAGCACAGAGGCGGGAGAAAGCCCTGGGCTCTGCCAGGTGTGACCCCAGAACAGAACAAAGCAAGACAGCAGGGGGAGGCTGGAGATACGGCTCAGGCGTGGGGCTCTTGCTCGGATGTGGGAGGCCCCGGCTCAACCCCCGCACTGCAAACGGCCCCTTCAAGCACTGCAGGGTGTGGCCCACAGTCAAGCAGAAAAAGAAAACCGAATTCCACAAACGGGCTGGCTCGCGAGGGAAGGAGAGGGGCTTCTGAGTCTGCTCCCCTCCTGAATGGCGAGGCGAGGGGAAGGAGGAGTCGGACGTGAGGATGGAGGCAGGCCAGGGAAACCTGGTGGTGGTCAAGCAAGACAGGACTGGCCCCAGGCCTGTGCCCACGGCACGTGGCCTCCTGGCTCCCGTTCCCGTGTCACCTGTTTTGTATCTTCCGTTGCACACACACTCACTCCCTCCTCTTCCGCATCGAGGGTCAATGCAGGGAGCAGAGGAGGTGGCAGGAAGCGCAGCCCCCAGCAAAGCCAGCCCCCCGGGACACGTCTCCATCGTGGGCCCGTTTCCCTGTGGACAATATCTCAGGACACCCTTGCACATTCGGACACACTTTAGTGTTTAGGACTCAGAGAGACGTGAGGGGAGAAGCCACGAGGCCCCAGCTTTGACTTGCGGCCCCGCAATGGACAGAAGTCGAGGCCCCTCTGTGTCGACAGGGGTGCAGAGGGACAGGAGGGAGCAGGGAGGGACGGAGAGAGCAAACGGGCAACGCCAAGCACCAAGCGTTCCCCAGAGTCTCTGGTTCCCGCTCTGACCCTCCGACGCCCCCTTCAGCTCCCCCACTTCATCCCTAAGGCGGCCTGAGCCCTGAGCACCTGAGGAAAGGCCCATCCCTGCTCCTGTCACCGGTGGTGGCTGGGAAGCCACTTGCCTGCCACGTGGAGCTGCTCAGCCCACCCGGTCCTGTTCCGCCTCTCGCCCCTGGGGCCCTGGGAGTCTGTGGGGGCCTGAGCATCGCACAGGGCGGGGGAGGGGGCTGCTTACTAGTTCCGTGTGGCTGGGCCTGCTGCTCACGGATAAGGCCACGGAGCTCACAGAGCTGAGCGAGGAGGCCGACGGGCGGCACTTCAGGCTGGCGGGGGTGGTGGCCATCACACGCCTCCCAGGGGCCGCCTTGGCCTTGGCCGGCGTCGTGGAGGGGAAGCCGATCTTGGTGACTTTGTGAATGCGAACAAACAAGCCATACTTGGGCTGACACTGGAAGTACCTGCGACATCGAGGAGGGGAGGGACAAAAGACACCTTTGGCAAGAGAGACAGGCGCCGACCGCGGAGTCCACTGAGTCCCACAGTCTCACACCCCCACAGACTAACACGCTCCCATAGCCCCACACTCCCACACACTCACACCACAGCCAACACTCCCACACTCTCACACCCCAACCAACAGTCCCACACTCTCACACTCACTCCCAAACAAACATCATACCCTCATGCAGCCTCACACTCACACACACTCTCACCCAACAAACACACACTCACACCCCAACCAACACAAACTCACACTCATCCCCCAACCAACACTCCCACACACTCACACCCCAACAAACACACACTCACATCCCAACAAACACTCCCACACTCACCCCAAGAAACACACACACTCACATCGCAACCAACACTCCCACACTCTCACACTTCCACCACAACAAACACTCACACTCACACCCCAACCAACACTCCCACACTCCCACACACTCAAACCCCAACACACACACACTCACACCCAACAAACACTCCCACATGTCCACAGCCCCACACTCACACACACTCAAACCCCAACTAACACACACTCACACACAACCAACACTCCCACACACTCACACCCCAACCAACACACACTCACACCCCAACAAACACTCCCAGACTCACCTCAAGAAACACACACGCTCACAACCCAACACACACTCCCACACTCTCACACTCCCACCCCAACCAACACACTCACACCCCAACCAACACTCCCACATTTCCACAGCCCCACACTCACACACACTCACTCCCAAACAAACATCATACCCTCATGCAGCCTCACACTCACACACACTCTCACCCAACAAACACACACTCACACCCCAACCAACACAAACTCACACTCATCCCCCAACCAACACTCCCACACACTCACACCCCAACGAACACACACTCACATCCCAACAAACACTCCCACACTCACCCCAAGAAACACACATACTCACAACCCAACCAACATTCTCACACTCTCACACTCCCACCCCAACAAACAAACACACCACAAGAAATACTCCCACATTTCCACAGCCCAACACTCACACACACTCACTCCCCAACAAACACTCATACCCTCCCACAGCCCCCACACTCACACACACTCAAACCCCAACTAACACACACTTACACCCCAACCAACACTCCCAAACACTCTCACCCCAACAAACACTCCCACACTCACCCCAAGAAACAAACACACTCACACCCCAACCAACAATCCCACACTCTCACACTCCCACCCCAACATACACACACACTCACAGCACAACAAACACACCCACATTTCCACAGCCCCACACTCACACACACTCACCCCCCAACAAGCACTCATACCCTCCCACAGCCCCACACTCACACACGCACACCCCAACTAACACACACACTCACACCCCAACCGATATTCCCACACTCCCACACTCCCAACGTCCCACACTCACACTCACACCCCAACAAAAACACACTTACACTCAAACCCCAACAAACACTCCCACACTCCCACAGCCCCACAGTCACACACACGCATACCCAACCAACACTTGCACGCTCTCAAACCAACAATGACACACTCTCATTCCCTCACAAATATGCTCACACCCCCAAGCAACACTCACATGCTCATGCCCTCACCAACACTCACAGCCCCACACTCACACGCTCACATACACACACCCTCATACATACATATCCACACTCCGAAGCACACACATTCATACATTCACACACACACTCCCTCGCACGCCGCCCACCCCCACTGCACAAACCAGGGGCGATTCCAAGCAGCCTCCCCGGCATCTGAAGGGCGACAGCAGGCCGGGGGGTTCCTGCGGGCCGAGCACAGCTGCATGTGGGAGCCCCAGGCTGTCCCCACATCCCTGCAGGGTCCCCGAGTGCCACCGGAAGTGGCCCCGCCTAAGAACCAAGTGAAGTGGCCTGCAGTCCCCTCAGCACCTCCCGGGCACCGTGCATTGCCCCAGGCTGTCTGGGGGGGGGGCAGGAGGACCCACCTCGTTCCAGCCACGGCGCCATCGTTCTTGCCCAGCGGCTTGTCCAGCTCCACGCCACACCAATTCCCCTTGGCGAAGTACGTCTCCCCGAGGAAGCGCACCACACCGGCCTTCACGCCTCCCACCTGCCAGAGGGACGCGGGTCAGGCACCATGGACTGCGCACAGTGCCCCCACCCCCGCTAAGGAACATTCTGGCTTCAGAGTAGGGATTTCCGGAAGAAACCCCAAAGGTCAAGGTGCCACTTCCCCCCGCAACCCCTACAGGGTGAGCAGACGCTGCTGCTCAGTGTCCATGCAAGGCAGCGGCGTTCACACCCACTCGCTGTCACTGGCGGCCTGGCTGACCACACCCCTGGGAATCTCTGACCCAGGCCAGCCACCTGGTGTGGCGAGGGGGTCCCTGCCCCGCGGGTGTGGGAGCGGAGCCGTGGCAACCCCACCGCTGGAGAACAATTCAGCCAGAAACCAGCTAAAGGAAAATGACTGTTCTCATATCTTAGCAGAGTTCGATTTTCCAGTTCTCCTTCACTATGCCTTGGCTTGATGCTTGGCCCCTGGGACGCAGAGCAAAACAGAATCACAGCGCTGGACACCGACGGGAATGCTGACAAAAAGGGCCAGAGCACCGGGGGAAGGGCACTTGCTTTGTGTGCGGCCACCCTGGGTTCAATCCTCAACACCCAAGATGGTCCCCCTAGCCCGCCAAGAGTGATTCCTCAGTGCAAAGCCTGAGTGACCCATAAGCACTGTCAGGAGTGGCCCCAAAACCAAAAAGTCAAAACAGAAAGGGGAGCGAGAGAGAGAGAGAGAGAGAGAGAGAGAGAGAGAGAGAGAGAGAGAGAGAGAGAGAGAGAGAGAGAGAGAAACCTCAACTAATAATGCCTGAGAGCGTGGTTTTCTTTTTTCGGGTCTGGGGCAGGACTGGGTTCACGTGCTCGGGGGTCACTCGCAGCACGAGGGGTAGCAGCGTCACCCAGGACTGTCTCTGTGAGTCCTGAAGTCCCATCTGCAAAGGCCCTGGCACAGCCTCCGTGGCCAGGCGTGGGCCCTGGGAACTGTGAGTGTGACAAAGAATAAAAGAACAAGAGACAGGTGGCTGGGGTGGCGGCCCTGGGCTGAGAAGAGGCTGCAAAGTTCATCGGCAAAGAATCTGGCACAGAACATGCCATCCCTGACCCGGAAACAGCCTCCTGGAACAGCACAGCTGGAAGGCAGTCAAGTCTCTCAAGACCCTGACATTATATCCTGGAAATATCATCTGCCCAAAACTGCTGCAAGCCTGTCTCCAGAACATTCTGTCAGAGCTCAGCTGGAGAGAAGGGAAGTGATCTCCCAAGGTCAGGAGAACCACCGCACATCAGCCCGGAGAAACTCCTCACGGTTGGATTCTGAGACGCCACAGGACGGACAGAGTGACCTCCCGCTCTGAGACACCATAAGACTGACCAGAGCGACTGACTGTTCCGCTCTGCGACCCCTGCCTACTTGCGAGCACAGACGGGACTTGAGGTCAGAGCTGGGCATTTCCAGTGACCCCAATGAGGGTCCCTGAGTCTCCAGAGAGAACCAAAGTAGCACAAGCATGGGGGCAGTCTGTCCACTGCCAGTGACAGGGACTGCAGGGGGCAGGGGACCGTCTTCCACAGGCCTGGAGGCTGGAACAGCCATGTCAGAGCCTTCGAAGGGCTCCTCGGAGGTCAGTCCCGTAAACATCGAGGCCAGCTGGCACAGAACCTGGACTTCCTGTGCGCAGGGAAAAATGGGGCAAAGGGCAGGAGGCCCTTTGGAGAGTCGGGAGGGCGCCAGCCCTGCACGGGAGCTTCGCCTCAGTGCCCCGAGGCCAGCCCCCACTCGCCACGGCCTCCTGACCACGGCTGCGTTAGGCCGTGGAGTGCCAAGCAAACCTTCCTTGAATTAGGAAAAAGACCAAATAAAGTGTTTGGGTTTTCTTTTTTCCCCTTCTTCTTTCAGAGAACAGCCATTATGCTGGTTGTGGTCCCCCAAAAAAACCCCCAAAAACTTTTTTTTGAAAGGCGTGCTCTAGCTGAGGTATGGAGCGATGAAACAGCACAGACAGAGGGCAGGGCGTTGGCCTTGCACACACCTGCCCGGATGTGGTCCCTGAGCACAGGGCCAGGACTCAGCCCTGAGCACCACCACCAATAAATGAATAACTGATCAGAGTTATTCACTGCAGAGCCAGTGGCGGTGTCCCCGCTCCCTTGTTCCAACGACACTGGTGTCCCTGTGTCCGGGTGTGGACGGTTGTGAATGCAAGTTAAAAAAAAAAGTCTTTTTTCTTCTTTGGGTCTTTGGGTCACACCTGGCGATGCTCAGGAATCATTCCTGCATTCAGGAATCATTCCTGCGATGCTTGGGGGACCCTATGGGATACCGGGGAACCCAGGTTTGCTGAGTGCAAGGCAAACGCCCTCTCTGCTGTTCTACTGCTCCAGCCCCCCCAAACAGTCTTTAAACCGTGTGTCTCCTCCAGCTCCAATTCCCTCCCCGTGTTACTCTTTGGCCATCCCTGAACCCTGACCGTGACCCTCCAGGACCCTCCGAGGGCCACCCTGCGCCTGCAGGCAGGTCTCCTCACAGCTCTCCTCTCCGGCCTCCACAGCTCTGACACCGGTCTGGCGATGGCCATCCCTGTGGTCCCCGGGAAGCCACTGGCTCCGGGCCAGCCCCCAGTCTGTCTGGTCAGAGCCGCCCGCCTCAGAGGTTCCCAAGGGGACTTTTCCCGGCCGCTTCCCACGGGTTCTGAAAGCGTTATTGAGTGCTTCTGCTGGGGGAGAACAGTTGTCTACAGCCAAGCGCCTCTGCTTTGGGGACCTGTGCAGAGGAATGGGCTTGGGGTGGACTGAGGATGCCACGTGCAGGGACCTGGTGACCCCCACCAGAAACTCATCTCACGGGGGTGCCCCCTCGCCCCCACCAAAGGGCTTCCAGGAGCTGCTCAGAGAAACACAAGAGCAGGTGCTGAGTCTGAAGATCAAGCAACCAAGTCAGCAAAACATACTTTTGAGAATGTTCTGGAGACGGGTCCCTACCCATGGCCTACCCAGGGTCCATCCCCGACACCCCAGATGGTCCCCTGAACCCTACCAGATCCCTGAGTTCAGCACCAGGAGGAAGCCCTGTGCACTGCCAGGTGTGGCCCAAACACCAAACCACACACGTCTGGAGAGACGGCTCAGGGCTTGCGCACAGCCGGGCACGGAATGGCCCAGAGCGGCTCGGGGTGAGCCCCGTGACGCCCCAAACACAAACATCACAAACCAGAGAAATGGAACCGATTTCCAACTTCGTACATTGGTTTGTTTTTTGAGTCACAGTCAGAGTGCTCAGGGCTTACTTCTGGCTTGGTGCTCAGGGATCACTCCGGGATGTGCTTGGGGGACTGTACATGGGACCAAGACTTAAACCCCGGGTCAGAGGCATCCAAAGCACACGGCCTCCCCACGGCATGACCCCTCCACCCTGTTTTGGCTAAACTGGTAAAACTGGCAGCATCCCCGCACGCATCCATCACGCTGGAAACTGCAGGACCAGGTGTCCTGGCTGCTCGTGCTTCCACCCAAACCGCGAGTCTGGGAAAGCTGATGGACCAGACAGGCGAATGGACACCCACCCGCGACCGCTGCCCTCGGCACTCACCAGCACCCGGTCCCCGAGCTTCAGCTCCTGCTCCCCGTTCTTGAGGGAGCCAGCCTCCGAGAGGTTGGAGATGGACTCGCTGGCCGTCCTGGTCAGGTTGCTGATGTGAGGGGCGGCCGGTGCCTCCTTTGTGGAGGGCTGGGGCGCCTTTGGGGCGGCGGCAGGGGCCGGGGAGGCCGACCGGGGCGGTGTGGCCGGGGCAGCAGGCGCTGGCTGCAGGCCGTTGGTCTCATCTTCAGCCTGCCAGTTCCTGCTCAGCTTGGACGGCCGGGTGAAGATGCCCTTCAGCGGCTCGCACTGGAAGTAGCGCACACCCGCCACCGAGCCGTCGTTCTTGCCGATGGGCTCGTCCAAGACGATCCCGGCCCACTGACCAGGGGCAAACTGGGTCTCCCCGAGGAACTGGATGAATCCAGGCTTGTTCCCCTTCACCCAGACTCGTTCCCCGACCTGGAAGTCGTCCACAAACTCCTCCTGCGTCTCCGAGGAGGGGGCGCTGGGGGTTTTCTCCCCAGGCACGGACTTCTCAACGGGAGCAGCCGCTGGAACAGCAGAAAGGGTCAGAAGGGTCAGAAGGGTCAGGAAGGGCCTGTCCAGGTCCAGTTAAAGTGTGGTTGGGGGTGGCCACACCCAGCAGTGCTTGGGACTACTCCCAGCCAATGCCGGGGGCTGCTTGTGGTGAAGCCTGGCCGGGCCCGCCGTGAAGGGGACGTGCCTACCTACTGCAGCATCCCAGGCCACAGTCATATTTGGGCAGCTGAGGGGAAATCTTTGGACACACCCCGTGATGCTAGGGACCAAGCCAGGCGAAAGCTCCAATACAGTGTCTTATTTCTGCTGTGTCCACTGGCCCATCTTCTTTTTCTTTTAGGGGGGGAGCACTCCAGCCAGTCCGCAGGGCCTATTTCTGGCTCTGCGCTCAGGGTCACTCATGTGAGGTTGAGGCTGGAGAGTCACATGGGGTGCCGGTTGCCCTCCCCACTGTACTGTGGCTACGGCCGGCAATGAGGCCCTTTAGTCCAGGTGAGTCCACCTCCCTCAGCCTGTCCCCAAGCCCGGGCGAGGGGGCTAGCAGTTAGGAGGGAGCGTGTTGGTCGCCTCAGCTGTCACCAGTTGCCGTGACACTAAAGTCACACAACGTGAGACTCATGTGTGAGAGCTGTCCCCAGAGCCGCGAACGTGCCTACAGCTCAGGGAGCCCTTCCCGGGCGAGGACTCGGGAGGGGGTTCCCGGGTGGAAATGAGTCTCCCCTGGCCCGGGCTGAGCGCACTTACCGGCCGAGGGCGCCTTCAGGGCCCAGCTCCCATGCTTGAAGATCTTGGTGGGGGCCTTCAGCCCGCTGGGCCTCAGCAGACTCATGGTCAGGTGGTCAGACGCTGCCGCGGCCACTACCGGGCCCTGACTCTCGAGCCCACTGTGGGGCCTTCTGAGGCGCACTCGTTCTCAGGGATAAATCTCTGAAGAGCAGAGGAGAGAGTCTGTCTCACGGTAGCGACCACAGCAGCTTCCGGAGCCCAGAGAGCTGCCAGTCTGAGACTCGCCACCCCGAGTGCGACCCCCAGCCTCCCGCACAGCTCCCTGAGCCCACCAAGTGTCATTCCTGCACAAAAACTCAATCCCAAACAGACAAACAAACAACAGCAGATTCAGGGCCAGAGGGCAGAGGGGACAGGTACTTGCCCTGCGGGCAGCTGACCCTCACGCCCTCCCTGGCATCACACCCACCCCCAAACACATTCAGGAGCCAGAAATCGTCCCTGATCACTGTGAGTGCCACTGACCACCTTCCCGTCCAGACACTGACTAGCCGGGAGGCGACTCAGCAGTGATGGCTGGTCTTGTGTGTGCATGTGTGCGTATGTATGTGTGTGAGAGGCCCGGGGTTACACACAGAAGCTAAGGCAAGCAACAGGCACACTTTTTTCTATGGGCTGAGAAGTGCCAGGGAAAAGGGCCCAGCAAGACTGCGCCAAAAGGGGGCTGGAGAGCGATAGCACAGTGGGTAGGGCGTTTGCCTTGCACGTGGCCGACCCAGGTTCGATTCCCAGCATCCCATATGGTCCCCTGAGCACTGCCAGGACTGATTCCTGAGTGCAGACCCAGGAGTAAACCCTGTGCATCACCAGGTGTGACCCAAAAAGGAAAAAAAATGCGCCAAAGGGGAGCGAAGGAGGTTTTGGCGTTTCCTTCGTTCCTTGTGACGGTGCCCAAGTTTGATAACCACAAGCCAGTATTAACTGCATTTCTTAACCCACAGAACTGAGGCAGACAGGTGAATGGGGGAAGCGTCGCCATGGCAATGGAACTCCGAGGAAGTCAACAATAGCTTCATGGCCACCAAAAGACCACCTGAGGGCACGGGACCCAGGGTCTGGTCAAAATTAACCCACATTAGGAGGCCCAGAGCAGGCTGGACCCCCCGAGGGAATAGGAACAAAGGCCAGGAAAGGAATTTCTAAGAGGACCTTGGACCACTCAACTCTACCCCCTTGGCAACCACCCTAGCAACGGACTCTAGGTAGCTAGAAACTCCCACCAGGGGCAGCCTGGGGAAAACCCGAGATTAGCCCCCTTGAACCAAGGGAGGGCGCTCATGTGTGCCCGAGCCCAGGGACTGCTCTTGCCTACGAGGTCGGTCATGTCACGGGCTTCTCCCCTCTGAGGTGTGGACTTTCGGACCGAATGCAACCAGGCAACCTAACGTGTTCAGTGGCTTTCTGCGCCTCTGGAGAAGCCGCACTCTCTCTCGAGCCTGTTACTCCCTCCCTCATTTCCCCTTCCTAAAAGCCTCCAAATAAAATGTTCCTGCTTCATGCTCATCTCCTGAAATGATTTTCTGCGAGAAGGACAAAGGCCCGGGGGCCTGAGGAGGTCGAGGATCGACTCCCTTTCCCTGAAAAGGGCAACCCTTCACTCCGGCCCGAGACCCCGGGAAGGCCTAGTGGGCGTTGTGGGGCTGGCAGGGCTCATCGCGCTCATCAGTGCCAGCGCTCCCGCCAGTCCCGGGGGAGTGACATCTTCTCCTCTGCTTCTCATCAGCCCCCCATGAGGGCCCACTGACTTCAGAGTCATTCCACATTGAATAGAAAAGTCCGCAGGGGGCAGAGAGGCAGGACAGTGGGGAGGGCACTTGCCTTCTATCCAGTTGTCCTGGGCTCGATCTCCGTAAGCACAGGGACGTTAGCCGGCCAGGGTGACCCCTGGGCACAGCCAGGTATGGCCACCCCACCCCACCCCACCCCCACCCCCCAAAAATATATATATATGTATATATAACTACTAAAAAAACTTAAACGAACTACAGATTAAAAACTATCATACACTAAAGAACTGTTAGAGAAAAAAGCCACCCGCACGCGGGCAAAAAGCCCAGAGACTCAGATTCACCTGTGTCACACTGCACTCGCAGCTTAAAGAACTGAGCTCTGCCAAACAGGCTCGTGCCAGTCTCCTACAGAGACTGAAAATGGCACTTGGAGTCTAGAATGTTCCAAGGTAGAATGAGAATTCCGCAAGGAGGAGGGCATCATGGGCCCTTCTTAAAGGGGCAGGCGCCACCCTTCGTGATGCCAGGGTCCGGCTGAGGCTCCGGAGGGCTGCCCTGCAGACACCAGCACTAGCTGGCCAATGTGCCTCTGGTCCCTGCGGGGCCCAGTTCTGGACTCCTGGGCCCTGAGAAAGTGGTTTCAGAAAACGTTTGACAAATGTTTGGCAGTTACAGATCTCCAACTGAGGTCATTCGGCATCCCCCGAGTGTGACCTGGACCCAGTGACTGTGCCCAGGGCCCTCCTCAGGAGCTGGGCCATAAAATCTATGGGCGGGCGGGGGCGGGGGCGGAGGGGCAGAGCGACAGGGCAGAGGCCCTGAGCCCGACCCTGATAGCCCTGCTCTCTGTGACCCCAGTGCTGTGAGCAACACCTGCCGCACTGTGGCCAGGGCGTGGCCCAGCCCACTAAGGCCTGAGAGCTGTACAGAGGAGTCTGGCCTG